CGACATGTTGGAATTGATATTGATGCTCTGAAGACTCTTTTTGATTCTAAGCCAAGGCAACATACTCGTGAAATGGCCCTGAAATTGTATGTTTCTCATGAAACAATACATAAACATCTAAGGAATATGGGAAAACTCTATAAAGAAAGTGTTTGGGTGCCTCACGAACTCTCCCATGATCATTGTTTCCAACGTGTGAACGTTGCTTCGTCTCTTCTGGCGAGTAATACGCATTAACCATTTTTGGACAGAATTGTCATCGGTGATGAAATATAGATAATCTATACAAATATTGAACGCCAAAAACAATGGCTCAGTTCTAGACAAAAACCACTTCCGACCCCAAAACCTGGACTCCATCCGCAGAAAGTAATGCTCTGCATTTGGTGGGACATCAAAGGAGTAATTCATTCCTCAATCCACAGTAAACTGTTACTGTAAAGATCTATAGTCAGCAACTGGAACGTTTAAATCAAGCCCTTCATCGGAAACGCCTTTTACTCGTCATTCGGAAACCTGTTCTTCTCCACGACAATGCTCGTCCACGTGTAGCAGTTTGACGCGACACATAATTATACAGTTGTGGTGAGAAGTTCTCCCCCACCCACCATATTCTCCAATTAAGGTACCATCAGATTACCATCTTTTTCGTTCGCTGCAACACCGTCTTAATGGGAAAACTTATGCAAATATGGAAGGTGTTAAAGAGGACATCGACATGTTTTTTGCTTCAAAGCCAAGTGATTTCTTTAATTAGGGCATTAACAACCTGATTGTAAGATGGAAACGAATCATCGATAGGAATGGAGGATATTTCACTTAATATCTTTTCTTGCGTTTTGATATAGAAGTTGTTAGGGTTTTTTCATTTAATAAAAAGCGACGTTAATTTCTTGACGACCTAATATTTCAATACATAAACAACAATACAATTTACAATAAAGGTTATTACAAACAATGATTTATATACAAAAGTTTATACAAACTTACAAGCAATATAAAGTCTTCTTTCTAGTCTAGAGCTTCCTTTATCTTATTGAGGGTTATTTTCTCTAGCCAATTTACAAGCATGTAAGAGTCTTGACCAAAACTTGGAAACGTAATCCAATAAGTGCATTTCTTTTGGGTCGTCCTTCAACCATTGTTCCTTCAGCAACTTCAAAGGATCACACACTGGATAGCCAAACTCCAATTCAAATGGGCTAAACCTTAACGACTTTTGAACTGACTCACGGACAGCAAATAATAATAAATTAACTCCTTCATCCCATTCCTTCTCGTTTACGAGACAGTAAGTCCGCATCATATTTTTCACCGAGCTGATAAAGATCTTGTTGAAACAATCCTGACATAAAATTTGATCCATGCTTAGACTGAAATTCTTTGGGCAAGCCAACGAAAGTATAAATATTAATCAAAACCTTATAAATTTTTGGGATGAAATGTTTCTCAAAGACATAGCTTCAGGGAATCGAGTGGATACACACATGATAGTCAACAAATAATAATTCTCTAATCGAGTTTTTGGTAAAGGCTCAACACAATCAACAATCACACGACTGAAGGGTTCTTCTGAAGCTGGTATAGGTTTGAACGGAGCAACAGGAATTTTCTGGTTAGATTTTCCGACCAACTTACAGGTATGACAAGTTTTACAAAACAGAGAAACGTCTTGCCTAATTTTTGGCCAAAAGAAATGTCTCATAATTTTGTCACGTGTCTTGTTTACACCTAAATGATCTCCCATGGGGAGTTCATGGGCAACTTTCAGTATTTCAGAATGATATGCTTTGGAAACAACAAGTTAGTAAACTACAGCCCAGTTCTCGGAAGCTGGCACATCTGGTGGTCTAAATTTCCTCATAAGCACAACATTTTAGAAAAAATAACCATTTGGAACTTTCTCCAGTTCATTATTTCGGAGTGCATATTTAAATAGTGAAGTGATCTGTGGATCCTTTTCTTGCTCAGTGATCAGGTTACTTTTAATAAATGGAA